CATTTAAACACAAAATGAACCAGATAAAACAAGAACAGCATATACTGTACTAAACACATCTAAGGACATTTATCAAAACAGTAATTTGTAAAGTAAGGAAATAAATGTATCCAATGTGTGAAAAAAAAGTGTCCTGCTCCGATCGTCCGCTTCTTCCGTGTGCCACGCCCCCTCGTTAACCACGTGTGATCAGCTGTTTCTGGTTGTTGTCATGAGTCCTCTGTATTTCATCCTCGTTTGTTTCCCCAGTCCGGTTATTGTGTTGTCCATCTGCGTTTTGCCTGCCTTACCTGTAATTAAACCCCGTATTCCCCGATACCCTGACGTCTGCGCCTTTGTTTTCATTCCGTCCCCGCTCGTCATTACAATATTATTATATTAAATGTATTAATGGTTTATTATTAATATTAAAATAATTAATAAAATCTTTATTTTAAAATATATTTGATATAATAATAATTACTGTTACTGTCTATAATTGTCTAAAAGTATTTTTACTGTCAATATATGTATTCAGCTTATGTAAACATGCACGATGCTATCACAGCGAATACGAGGCTGAGACTGAAGTGTTACCCTTTATTTCCGCTGAGAGACGTGCCGCGTGACTCATTTCCCCGTGCGTACAAGTTATCTTAGGTTGGCGTTCATGGTTTGACTTGTGAGATTCAGATGGAGTACTAGGTAATTTTTTTTCCGAACCGGTTGGTTCGACTTTTAAGTAATTTGAGTTTTAATGAGTTCGAGAACTGAGGTACCACTGTATTCTTTTCTTTTCAGTAAAATGTAGAATAAACAAATTGCTTTGCATCTTTTCACTGTGCAGAAATGCTTTCTTCTGGCATATTTCCAGACTTTTCAGCTTTCCTTTTAGTTTAAAACATTTGTTGGAAAAGTAATCAAATGTAATAAGTTGCATTGTTTTATTGAAGTGATCAAAACATTAGATTTTTAACAGTGGAGATTAGCAATCTGTATTCTTAGTCAGGCCACTTACCAATTACTGTTAGCTGGATGGTGAGGGTGATTATGAAAGATGCTGGATGCTTTTTTAAGTTCGATGTGGGTAAACTTCATTCACTGCTGTAATGTGATTTTCTTCTATTAAATCGATCTCCACCTTTCTTGCACCAACACAGCATGAACACCTGCAATACTGACAGTCCGTGCTGCTGTACAGAAGATGAAGCCAAGGCTGTTATTCTGAGGGTGAGGTTCTTTTCTTTAGATCAACTTTCTCTGTTTGTCTCTGTTTGAAAGCAGCTGTGTTGTCCAGTTAAACAGGAAATTTAGAAAACATACTTAATTCCCTGACTTCTCTCTGCAAAGTGATTATTTTATGCTCAGTGTCTTAATTCTGATATTTTATACATTTATTAGACATGTCCTTTGGGTGCTGAAGATCCCATCCCATCAACAGGTGCGTAGTGAAGTCTTTTATCTAAAATTAACCCACTGAAAAAATAAGATTAAAAAAGATCCCTCTTGTTTCCTATGTTCCCTTATTCCCCGCTTGTCTCGTCTTCCCCTCTCCCTCACCTTTCTGGTGATCCCCAACCCTAGACTGGGGGTCGTAACAACCTTAATGCTGTTAAAGCAGTATATTCTGCATTCACTTATTACACAATACACAAATATTAGTGTCAATCTGTATTTAAGTGTACTTTTTATGATAAAGCTATAAAATTAAACTGTGCTTTTTTTTCCCCCTGTTTTCAGTGGACAAATGGTTCTACTATGAGAAGAAATAATGTAGGATGAAGACTTCAAATGGACCAGAACTTAGACTTTAGATTGTTCTATTTTGAAATTTAAATGGCGTGTGGTAAATACTGTCCTCCTGGTTGGATTCTGAGTTTTTCCCCCCCCCCCACATATTTGAGAACTAAAAGCTTATTTTACTTGTACTTATTTAATTAATTTGCTATACATTTTTAGTGTCCAGCTCAGAATCTGTTTAAAATGTCAGACCTCTGCAAAAACATGAGTAAAGATGTCTGAGGAAAATCTGTTTATTTCCCCTTGAATTTCTTTCTTCAACTTGGTGACCTTCAGACACATTCAGGCCCACTTTTTAAATTTATAAAATTTGGAATTTCTCCATAAAGTCTCAGTGTAAAATGGCCAAAGTCCTGCTTTTTGCTAGTATTGAGTGGGTCTGGAAAAGAGGCTCCAGGGCTCTTAAATATTTGTGCTGTAAACAATGGCATATGGCCATGTTCCCATTGTCCTCTTGCAACACACAGTCTGACAACCTGTTCGGTTATTGAAGGGCTCGCTGCAAGCTCATTTTCACGGTGATCAATCCTGTGTTTTTGCTCAGAATATGAAATTTCGCTTTTGAAGAGACCCTAGTGGCTAGTTGTGGCATTGCTACACTTCCTCCTGTGGCATTTCCTTCAATGCTCATCTGCCAAGTAGCTTTTGTTGTTTAATGCAAATGCAATTCTCTGCCAAGTAGCTTTGCAAATGCAAAGCTTTGAGAATACAGATTTTTTTTTATGACACATATGGACATTCAGAAATGAGTACAGCACACAGTGGTTCACAGTTTGAATGATTTACCGTAAAATGATTCCACTCCTTTCATATTGAGGATGAATTTAGTACTGGGAGTCATTCACTTGCAGAAAATATTCAAATGGGAAAAGAGTAGGTTTCACTCTGCACACTCACTGATGAGCCATAAATCTGTGTGTTTTTGATTTATATAGCTATATACAAGTGGCAAGTTAAGACAGGGATTTTATGTCCGGTAAGTGCTCTCCTAATAAAAATTTTAAAGGCAAGCTGAGTCCTTGCCATCAGTCATTTTGTTTATTATAGCACCCAAAGGCTCAGAACAGATAAGTGTTTTCATGATGAATTGTTCTGAATAGTGATGTTTTGAGCAGGTGTACAGCAGCAAATATCTGTCCTGTACCAAGTTATGGCAGAGAAATATAAAACCACACATGGAAGCCTTGGGCTCCACAAATGGCTCCGTGGGTAGAACTTGCGTTACACCTACAGGGATGGGCTTTGAATTGTCACATTGTAACTGTGTATGCGGCCTGCAATAGACCGGCGTTTAGTCCGTGCTACACCCCTTCTGTCTTATGGATGGATGTGGCTCTGAGGTACTCATTTCCAGTAACCTCATCTCCATTGCAGCTCTGAGATTCTATCCCAGAAAGGATCAGCAAGACTGCCAGGTTGACCTGCCACCCCACACATAAATACACACACTTGGGGTGACAGTAACTTATCTGCAGAGTATTTGAAGTAAACTCACAAAAGTCCGAGAATCACAGAGCTGTGATATCTATGATGAATGTATGCTAGACTGATGCACAAACTGGGTGTTCAGTGGCCACGTAGGAAGGATTTGGACAGTTACTGGTGTGTATGCAGGTTACTGAAAGGGTTTTACAATCTTTTATATTCTTTCTGTCCTTAATACACACAGTGGCATTTTAAGGAGTTTCTGAAGGTTTAGGAATGTGACTACTTGGAATGCTAGCTAGCGAAACCAGAATGACTGTTTAATGCCTACCCAGAAGAATCCCAATACATACCAACCAGAAATCTTACCTTTCAAGTTTAGTTACATTGAAATCTAATACCAGATGTCCGTGAGTTGTCTGTGAGCTGAAGATCTCTTACATCTCTTACTAAAGCAGTATCAATAAAGTACCATAAGTCACTAGTAGTGTACATTCATCACAAGAATGGAATACAAGTTATCACAAAGAAAATCTAAAAAAAAAAAAAAAAAAAAACAGTATAACTTCTGTCAACCTTGTGGCCTATAGGTTTTGTACACCTATATTTAGCAATATATTATTTAAATTTTGCCAGCAAGTTCATTTCATATTACTTCTGTAGACGGTATCCATTCTATGTTTGTTTGTTGGTTTTCCTCTGTAGTAGGGGCGTCTCACCTGCTGCTCTTCAGTATTTCGGTAGGGGAGACACAAGGAAGCCCCTGAACACCACACTACTCTGATCTGTACCACACTCCAGGTCTGCACCGGGACATCAGCAGGAAAATCCTGGAACTTCAGCTGACTTGCTTAGATAGTGCATGTGGCAGGGTATAGGACGATTTGGTTGGGGTACAAGGACCCAGAGCCTACTGTATTCTCTCTGTACATAGGGATACATATTTAGAACCCCTACTACGCAGGCCATTGTCTAGTCTGCTACACAAAGTTACAATACTTATTATTTACAACTTTAATACACGAACATTTCATAACCGCTTGTGGAGCTTGGAGTCCCTCCTATGAGGCAGGGATACCCTGGAGGCGGAGCTAATCTATTACAGTCTACACACACTCAGAGTTTGGCTTTGAGACCCCAGCCCACCCAAATGCAGGTTTTTTGAAAATAGGGGTAACTGCATAAACACAGAGAGGCAGAATTCTTATTTGTCGCGCTTGTTGTTTGTTCCTCTGCTGAATAGCAAAATGATTTTAGACCAGGGGTGGCCAATCTTATCCGCAAAGGGCCGCTGTGTATGCAGGTTTTCTACTGCAACTCCCTAATTAGATTACTAATTAGAGGACTGATTGGCTGAAGAGTCCTCACACCTGGGTTTGAACAGCTGACCTAAAGGTTATCCCAAAAACCTGCATACACACCGGCCCTTTGCGGATAAGATTGGGCACCCCTGCTTTAGACCATTTTTAACACTCCGGGGACAGATTTTTGGGCCGTTGCGCATTATTCGTAGGTGTCACGGAGCTCCTGTCAATTTGTCGGGGACAACTGTAAAATGTTTAAAGTACTGTAACAACAACCGTATTAAAGCACTACGTCCACAAATGCATGGAACGTTACATGTACAAGATAACTTCTCAATTATACATTCTGAATACCCGTTAATTAGTTTATTACATGGAACATACCATTCTAAATTAAGCAATTAACTTTAGTTTGGCATACCCCTCAAAATAAAACACACAGCAAGTGTCTGACGTGCAGTAAATGTATGCGCATGCGCGGTACAGACACCGGTCAGTGACGTTATGTGCTGAGGTGGAAAAACAGACACGATCTGCAGATCGGGTAGTGACAGTAGTGACAGTGACAACAGTGACACCAACAGTGATGTCAAAGTCCGGGGTACTTTTCCGGTTCCGGGGCTCAGTCTCAGTCAGCGTTCGGGGGCTATAAGACAGCAGTACTTCTGCCAGTGCGGGGAAGGAAGCGGAGCAGCGCGTCGCTGTGTCGGGCAGGTGGGCTGGCTGACAGACGGACGGCGAATTGCAGGTAGATCTTTTCGGCTACAGAGCTGCCTCTGATTAAATACGACCGCTTTTACCGCTGGCCTTGGACGGCTGCCGAGGTCGCCCAGATCCGGGGTGTCGCAGGGTGTCACCGAAATGTTAAGGGACCGGACCGGCGGCCCCGTATCGGACGTTGTGTTTTGACTTCGCAAAGGCCGCTAAACGTCAGAAGGGGGGGGGCGGTGACCTGTCAGTGTTTTCATTTCCCCAGGTGGCTGCCCCACTTAGACATAAAGTTTATAATCGTGCTCATAAAGGCTGGGGTGTAGATGTGGACGGAGCCGCCAGCAGGTGCCGTAGAGCCGCCCGGACGCTGGGGCTCCCCCTCCTAGAATAACGGCACGAAAGGAGATCCTGCGGCAGCGTGCGATCCGTTTATATCCAGCCGCCCGCGAGGTGTTTTCGCATTCCCCGGAGGTCGCTGGCTGTAGGGGCTGGCTTTAAGCTGTCCGATGAACCCCCCCCCCCCCCCATCTCTTTGGTGTCATATGTCGGTCCGTCGGTAGTGGGACAGCTGAAGAGGCGACATCCGAAGAGCGCTCCGCCTGCAGCAGCTGTCCCGCATTAGAAACCGCGCAAGACTAGGCTGCCTGAAGTCCTCAAGTTTGGAGTCTTTGAAGATCTCCAATTTCCGTGACAGTCTTCATTTTCATAGTCCCCGCGCTTCTCTTTCAGCTGCATAACTTTTTCGACAGCTGTCCTTCGTCCTTTTCTAAATTGCTCGATTTCCCCCCTCCCTCCTTACCTTTAATTGTTGATTGCATGTGATGAATTGTCAATTTGTTTTGTTGTAAAGTTATACATTTAAATGCAAATAAATGTAATTTAATTCATTCTAGTATCATGTCTTTCCTTTCCTTCTAGGGAACAGCGACAACGATGTCATTTATTTTTGATTGGATTTATAGAGGGTTCAGCAGTGTGCTGCAATTTTTAGGTAACGTATGAAAATTACTGTGAAGTTTAAAACGTGCATTGTAAAAACTGATTTTCTTTTAATTCTGGTTTTCCCTTCTCTGTCAGGCTTGTATAAAAAATCTGGGAAGCTAGTTTTTCTTGGGCTTGATAATGCCGGCAAAACGACACTATTGCACATGTTAAAGGACGACAGACTTGGACAACATGTTCCGACATTACATCCAAGTAAGGGAAATTACGTGGTTTAGTTGCATGCACTTAAAGTGAATCATCATGTTAGAAAATGTATCATGTTAGGAAATTTTATATATGACTAAGAGTTGATTCTGCTATGAAAACTACAGTATACACATTACTGTGCTGGGTTTATACAACGGAGTATGAGAAATATATGAAGAACAGTATATTTTAAAAATGTCTTGGTGCTTTGAATTTTGCAGCGTCGGAGGAGTTGACAATCGCTGGAATGACTTTCACTACCTTTGATTTGGGTGGTCATGCACAAGGTAGGAGCTCCTGCTAAGTTGGACTGTGTAAGCCAAGGTTTCCCAACCCGGACTTCGGGGACCCTCAGACAGTCCACGGTTTTGCTCCCTCCCAGCTCCCTGTCAGACGGTTCACATTAACGATGCAGACTGGAAGAAGTGTAATCCTTGTTGTGTAGTATTCAGTACTAAAATGAAACAACCCTGCTTGAAAATAGAGGATTTAACATATGTGAATCGCTTTAAAAAAATTAATCTTTCAAAACATATTTGAAGTTGCGAGATGTTTTTTTCTGTTCTTGGTCAATACCGTTATGACATAATACATTTTATAATAACAAAAATGTAAACAGTACTCTGTCAAAAATGTCTGCTAAAATCATTGCTGTGTGTGCAAGTTTTTTTTTCTATATGGATGCCTAATGTTTTTAAAACTTTTGTGGTTAAGATCCAATTTAAATTTTCACTATAGCAACCCTCACAGTTGGAAATTTAAGATGACGTTGTTTTCCATTAAAGCTTTTTTTCAGTGTCACCTAAACAGAAACTTGATGTGTTAAATGCTATCCAACTTTCTTAGACTTACACTGAAAGCTTTACAATTGAAGGACACTTTGATTTCTTCTTCACAGCAAGAAGAGTTTGGAAGGATTATCTGCCAGCTATACATGGTGTGGTCTTCCTTGTGGACTGTGCGGACCACGAGCGTCTCATGGAATCTAAAGTTGAACTTGACGTAAGTTTTGTGAGCCTGCATCTTATCTGGTTGGCTGTATATCTGGTAAGGAACTCAGAGGAACATACAAGCAGTCTTATTGCAGAAGGCTTCCTGGGGATGTACTGTACAGGAGAATGAAGATGGATAAATGTTCACCGGAAGAGTATGAGCCCAAAAGAGCATGTAGTCAAGTTGGAGAAACTGTACATATACTTTTGTCAGTTTCTATTAAATAATTGGTTGCCAAGTTTCCAGTGATGATTCTCCTAATTGTACCCCTTAAAACCTCTATCAAAATGGGAGGCTACATCAGAATGAATAGGCATGCTAGTCTTGGTAATTAGAAATTGCTTGTTTTGTGGGGGCAAAATTGTGGAAACATTTCCAATTTTGTGAGATTGCAGAACTTTATTCCAGTTACTCCAGATACATATTTAATCTTCCTGTGTATGATATTTGTGACATTCTTTGATTACTTGTAAACCTTACCGCCAGTATTCGTGTAGTAATTTTCAAGCGTGATGCCAAAAATGGTGTTTCCACAATTTTGGCCCCTAGTATGCAGATCCAAACTGTCACAGTCTACACACTCACACAGTCCAATTTAGAGACTAAATTGCTGACCTAAATGCAAGTAAAAAAAAAATCAGGTGTACTTTGGGTTCTCAGTCAGTAGTATTTTTGTGGTTAGTATGATCAAATGGGATGTTACAATGCAGAAAATATCCCAAACGCAAACACGTGTTTCTCTTTCTAGGCATTATTAACCGATGACACGATCTCCAATGTGCCAGTCCTTATTCTGGGAAATAAGATTGACCGTCCAGAAGCCATCAGTGAAGAACAACTGCGAGTTATGTTTGGCCTTCATGGACAGACCACTGGAAAGGTCAGAAATATCTGCCATGATGGAAGCAGCAGTTTGGCATCCGCCCTTGTTTGGTTTCTTCAGGAAGTTTCTGATGTTTATTTTTCACTTGTGTACTTATTTCAAGATCCCTAAAAGTAAAACTGTGCTACGGCTGTTTGCTGGATCACAGCTAGCTCATAGGGGTAAGCTTAGACAGTGTCCTATAGCATAGCTTCATGTCCATGCTCTCTTATTGGCTAGTTATCGGTGGTAGTCAGCAGTGGCAAAATACGACTGCCTGTTATTCGGCCTAGGTAGTGGAATGCTTAAGTCAGTCTGCAATCCTCCATCAGCCACCTGGAGAAGTGCCCCCTATTGGCCATTTTGGTGCCTTACACCTGTGAGATTCTTTCTCAAAGAATTTCCCCATTGTGGGATTAATAAAGTCTAATCTAATCTAATCTAATCTAATCTAATCTAATCTAATATGGTGCAGCTGCTCCAATCAGGTGTGGTTGGCCTGGTATGTAGGAGCATTGCCATTGTACCTCACAATCGCCTCATGGCACCCTGTTGGTGTATTGCCAGTGACTGCACTGTAGAAGTTGGAGCACGTGCAAGCAAGTCAAGTCAAGTTTATTGTTACACCAGTCATATTCAATACATTGCATATGTTGATGCAGAATAATGCTGCATAAAACATAACTCAGCTGTGTCTACAGGAGGATGGGGGGCTCATCTAACAGGCAGCCGTTCATCAAGCCTCACTGTTCCAAATGAGTCAAAACTAAAAAGTGAATGAATGTAATTTCAGTTGACTGGTATTCATGATCATGTTCGTTCACTGTTACAGCTATGATGAGCCATATTGATTGGTTTGTTTATATTCATCTTTATGTTTTATTGGGACATACACGAGGGGTGGTTCCCATTATACGTACTTGACTCTAGTTGTGCTCTTGTACCCATTATGCATCATCTTCCATTGGTGAAGACCAGGTCCAATACTCAAGGACCAGAAGTACAGAGGATGGCAAAAATCCCTGGATGTCATTCTTGCCCCCCCCCCCCCCAAATATCAAGGATACATCAGTTGTATCCCACCAAATGAAACCAATCCCATGATTCATTGCACCCCAAGTTCATTCTTGGATGGCAAGTTAGCAGGACGGGTCTTGCCAAGACCAGAAGTATGGTCTTTCTGGTTCTTGGTATTGAAAAACAACCAAGATTCTGGAAGCATTTTTGCTGTGGGAAAAGAGCCGTGAGGATGGTCACTCACCATCCTGTCATCGCTTGTGCCCACAGGGCAGCGTGTCGCTGAGAGAGCTGAACGTCAGGCCTGTGGAGGTGTTCATGTGCAGCGTGTTGAAGAAGCAGGGATACGGGGATGGCTTCCGTTGGCTGGCTCAGTACATCGACTGACCTTAAGACTGTACAGTTCTCCATGCCGGACCGAGGTGGCTCCGTCCTTACTGCAGGGGGTGGGGGTTGTGTGGGCGACTGGTATGATAAGGAGGAGTGTTGAAGACCCTTGTGGGCACCCAGATTAAGCTGTTAACTAATACTACATTTCTCAGTTTGCCGCTCAAATAATTTGTTTTCTTTTTACCGGTCTCAGGCAGGTTCATAGTTTCTACTATTTCAGTTTGCAGACTGTGAGCAAAATTTATGACACTTTAAAGGTTAGTGTGGTCATATATACTCAGAGACTACTTTATAAGGTACACATAGCTAGTAGTTATCTGGTATGTCCTAAGTTACGTGCTCCATTTGCACACCACAGTTGTACTGAATTCTTTTTGCACTTGTGGTCTTCCTTTTACCTTTAACAGGTCTGCCCATTCTCCTCCAGCCTCTCTCCTTAAGGTGTTTTCAGCCACAGAAATGCCTCTGACTGGATCTGTTTTGCTCATCACGCCGTTCTCTGTAAACTCTGCTCTAGTGTGTGAAAATCCCAATTGGGCGGCTGTTTCTGAGATGATAAAACCAACATCGATCAAACCACCAACAATTGTACCAAATGCAAAATCATGTAGATCATGCATCTGAGACATTCTAATGCTAAAGAGGTTCACTCACACAGCACCCCGCCCCACAGCGGGTGAACCTCGTGACCCTCTCTTTGTGCTGTATGACTGCATTTGCAGTCACGTGATTGGCTGTTTGGAGGAGCAGGCTGTTCCTATTAGCGGGCAGGTGTACCTAAGAAACTGACGTCTGGTTGCATTAATTGTTTATTGTCTGCAAGATACTGTTTTTAAAAAAGCGCAATATTAAAACTTTGTGTTATATGGTCATTCTGATGGAAGGGGAAAAACAGGAGGTAAGATCCCCCCCCCACAAAGATTTAAGATGCTGCCCACTTCAATGTAAAGGATTTCAAATATTACTTAAGTTATGTCATTTATGAGCATGTCTGTATGTAATAGTATAATGGAAACATCTTGGCTGTGTTTGCGGAGACGACTGGAAGTACCGAGAAGGGGGGGGCGTGTGGACGTGTGTTGGTCTTCCTCCTACTGTGCACCCAGCCAAAGACGTGAGTGACATTCACACAGACCAGCACCACACGTGCTGGTACATTGATGGGCTCCCCGAACATCGGCACCTGTCTGGGAAGGAGTGTCATTGGGACCCACAATCTCTACAGAGCAATAATATTAAAAAAACACCAGACAGCAATATTCATACGGAGAGCTGGTGAAGCTAGCGCTATAAATGAGAAGCTCTGATCCTGAAACAGTGTTTCTGCAGGACTCCTAGAGTAAGAGCCTACTCAGCATGGACTGGTCTTATTTTGCAGCGTTGCCAAGAGACAACATTGCTATTTCCATCCATTCTGGTTAGGGTACAATCAACACTGGCTATTTTAACACTATGTATTTACACTACTCCCCTTCCCACAACCAATTTCATCTTACTGCCCTTGGTAACAAGAAGAAAAATCTTCTAATGTCGCCTGGTGTGAAGGGAAATGTGTTCACAGTCCAGTGTAGTTTTGTCTCAACCTTTTTTTTTTTCCCCCCACAAGCCTCTGTGGTTTTCTGTGTCCTAAAACAAAAAATCAATGCTTACTTTAATTCAAAGTAAGGAATCTTTGGAGTCAAAGTACAGACTGTACATCTCTGGTAATCTGGAGTGAACAGATTTGGGGAAGTGTGCCTAGCACATATGCTTGTAGATAATGAAGTTCATGCTGTCTGCTTTGGACAGGAAGGAACTGATTGATGACACTTATTGTGCTGGAGTAGGTATTTTGTGACCATCTCCGATGGTGTCCTGGTTTCTGTGGTGGGGATTGGAAAATACTTGCTGTAACCGAAATAGCATTTACAAGTTACCTGTTGTGTGATGTAGCCTATGGATTACATATGACATACTTGTAAATAATGTAAACCGTACTCATCTTTTCAGACATTTGGACGGCTGCAGAGGGTGTATGAGCCTTTGCAAAGGCTTCCCCATGTTTATTGATTGTAAGGATTGTAGACGTAAGGATTGATTACCACCACAAACATGTCCCCCATCGCTGGCCGTCATGTAGTCTTTTTTGATGTGGTCATACTACAAACATGACAGTCTCACAAAAAAAAGTCTGAATCACTGGTAAATATCTAGAAAAATTTTACTTTCTTTTTCTTCAGTGTACGCCGTGTTTTTGTCATGTCAAACAATATTCAGTAGGAATGAACTTTGTATAAATGTATAGGTCTTTATGATTTACTGTGAAATGAAACATAAAAAATAGCTTTTACATCTGTGCCTCTGTGGTGTGACCTAATCCTCAAAGGAAATTACATATATAGGTTTCTGAAAGCACTGCCTGACACCTCTGCAGATGTTTACAAAGGATGATCTAGCTGAGAAGTTACTAAACTGCCGCGGTACCCCTATACAAACCTAACGGATGGTGTTGATGTCAGTTTAACGAAGATCAATCCAGATAGCTGGTGTAGGCATTTGGCCCATCCTGAAGGTGCTCTACCTTGTTAGCTCGAGTGCTTGGGGTTTCGGAGCAGCTCTGACATGCCAGGCCACGTTGGGCGCTGCAGGAGTGCTCAGCTGCCCTCGGCCTAAGAGATTAGTGAGAAACCATAGAAACTGTTCCTCAGGGTTCCGGGTGCCACCTGGAGCCTGTTTGTGGAGCTTATGTTAGTACCAGGGGACACACCCTGGCAAATCTTCGCACAAACAGCTGGGTCTCTTTCTGGGGACCATAACGTAGTGAGGTTTACTGCATTAAACACATCTGCCGGTAGTTCCCCTGTGAGAGAGGCAGCCGGGTCACAGAACACTGCATGGTGGCTCTTCTGGGTAAGCTAATGCTAAGCTAATTTGCTCATGTAATTATTCTACATTCTCAATATACAGTGTCGGTCACTCTGAAATTGTCAGCACTGTGGAGTGGCAGTAATGTTTATGTCCAGCAGGAGGCAGTGGTGCTCCATCAAATTTAGAAAGTAGAACTCCTATCACCGTGGAAGAACACTGTTATATCTGTGCGGCATTTTATTTTATAGTTGATTTAGTTTGCCCCGAAAGCATTTTCATGGTCTTTTGTTGTGACCTCTTTTAATCTACAAAAGGAGGGATTTAAGTGAAATTCCTCATTGGCTTCTCATTGCAAATAAGTGTCCGTCTCCCACGGACCCAGGTGGGAGCTCGCTTGTATGTCGGGCAGCTTTGACCTGCCTGTGGCGATGGCCCTAAGACGGGACAGACATTGTTTCCATGTGATTCTCTGGTGTCGCTGCCCCTTTGTTAAGTGACCAGTGTATTGTTTGCGCCTTCTTGCTTTGCGGGCTACACAATACGAGTTAAAATGTCTCCGTATTATAAAGTGCGTCAGAGTAACCTCGTCCCCTGGGTCTAACTGGCTCGTCCGCCAGGGTGCGTCCAGTACAATGGCTGTTTGGCTGGATCTGCCTGGGTACGTCCCGTCCGCGCTGGCGGCTGCTCGCTGTAAACAGATGACCTTCTGTGTCCCTCGGGACTTCGGCGCAGATGAGGTCACCCGTTGCTGAGAGAGTGCGGTGACCGAGGCCTTATGTCACAGCAGCCAGTCTACTAACTCATACTAACAGCTCACATTATTTCTGCAGTGACAATTTAACGTAAATAATATATTAAACTTACCGTCAATGTAGTAAAACTATATTTATAAATGATGCACACAAGATAATGTGGAATAACTCATTTGAATTCTATATATTAAATTTTTTAAGCTGATAGTCTGACTATAGAAGACTCTAAAACTGAAGTGTTCTATATGTATAATTTAAAAGCTTCTTATAAATACATGCTTTGCACGCTGCTTGAAACACTGCATTTCTGATTGCTCTGTGAACTCGGCGTTGTAAGTCACGATACTCCCTGAATCCCCTCCACTCAAAAATAATGAAGACCTCCACGTGGTTTTGCTGATAACTCGGCCGCTGAGAGTGGGCTGTGACCTTGAGACTTTTCGGGTGACTTTGACGACCTCTTGGGGAGGGGTGGGGTGCACCGGCGTGTTCAGACTGTGACACAATGCAAGATGGAAGAAGACGACCACGCATTCCTCCTACGTCGATAAACAGCAAGATCTCTGAGAAGGTCCAAAGGCCACACCATGGCTGCAATTTCCATACCGTTTTCCTACCACACATGGATTTCACCATTAACATATTGCAGCGTGGTCACTCTGACAATCCGAAAGTGCTGCCCTTTTTAAAGACTGCTTAAACAAAGGAAAATGAATCAAACAACCCCTGTAGTGATTTTAATAATGTTAAATCGACTATGGCTGTGTAGTTCGCTGTGAGACACCAACTTAATGTAATCTCTAAAACGCAATTTTAATTTATATTGAGTTGCATTCTAAATTATTGATGCCCACGGAAATGCTGTGACAGGAACAGCATTTTGATATGGGAAAGTCAGTATTAAGATGTTTGCCCTACTGACAGTGTCCTGGTAAGTGTGATTTATCCAGCCAGTCATCTTCTAAGCACTTATCCTAGTCAGGGTCGTATGGGGTGGATGGGGGGGGGCTAGAGCCTATCCCAGTTTATCAGAGGACATATACACAGAGATGCCAATCATAGGTGGAGTTTGATGTTTACGCTTCGGGGGAATAAGTACTTGCATCTTGCTTGCCTTATGTGTGAAAGCAAGTATCTCATGCACACATAAGCTATTATGTCGCCTACCTACTGTATAGGGTATCAACTAACCACTTATGCAAAGGCACCAAGTACCAGCATAGAATGCAGGGCGATGCTAGAATGCTGTTCTGGCTCAATTTATTGCTTTGGCAGGGGGGGGGATGTGTGCACTGTCCCAAACTCTGTCCAGGATGCCGAGCAGACTAATTGAATGTCTTTGGACTGTTGAGGGAAATGCACATAGCATGGGGAGAACATGTAACCCCCCCAAACCTGGAGGTGGTCTTACCCACCATCCCATCCAGTTTATTCACCAGGAACTCTGCCTTCCTTCTTTTTTCTATTGTTTGGGCTAATTGTCACAGTTTGATTGATCTGGGTGGTGTTGCAGTGCTACCTGACACCTGTGGGCTTGGCCGTTTACGTCTCACCTCTGCTCTGAGCGGGTAGAGCTTGCAGGTCCTCCCTGTGCTGTACTGGTTTCTGGATTCTCTCATTTGTGTGTATGTGTGTGTGTGTGTGTGCCCTGCACGGAACTGGAATCCCATCCAGGCTGCTCCTCAGCTTTGTGCCCCCCCCCCTGCCTTCTGGGATGGACTCCACCCCCCCACAACTGTTCTGAACAAGACTTGGGAAGATGGATGGATGGATATTTGTTCAGTCTGATGAGCCTGAAGGAGTCGGTGCGTTATTCTCTTTGTTCTAAAACATTATTAAAGCAAATGATTGTAAACGAACATCTATAATTTAACAATCGCAGAAATGTCCCACTGCATGCAGTGAAGATTTAAATAAGCTGTCACTTCAGCTTCAAATCCCACTAAAACATATTATCTTTTACATGCTCCTACAATAATTATGTTACTATGAGAAGTCACCTGACATGTGCCTTTGGGGTCAATTTGACCCCAGGTAGATGTGACAGTTATGACTCCAAGTTTGTGGCTTGACTTCCTCTCTCACCCACACCCACAGTGAGCTCCTATCTCACCCCAAAGAATGCGCGTGCGCAAGAATAAGGCAACTGTCTTTGTAAGAAAGTATCCAGTTACTGGCAGATTACCCTTGAATCTTTGGGATGGATGTAGCTCAGGTTTTTTCTTGCCTCTTTCTGTGGAAAATGAAATCACCTCAGACTGAAATATTATGTTTCACTAACATTATGTCATTATATCTCTGTATCTGCACATGATCCAATTTAAAGACATGCAGAGCAGATTAACTGGGAGTGGTAATATGCTCTTAGTGCATCAGTGTGTGTATGACAAGCTAACGCCTAAAGCGAACCATAAATGGGCAGATGAAAGAAGACTATGCAGAAATAACCATGGTTACATTACTATTTTATTATCAAATACAGTGTAAATATTAAGTGTGATATACTGCATTATGCTGAAGAGACATTTAGTACACAGCATTTCATTGTACATTCTAGCCGCTCTATTGATTGTAGAAGTGGACGTGTAAGCAGGTTAGTACTGTAAGAGACCACAAACAGTTCATTTATACCCATTCTTTCTATTGTTATTCCACCATACCGTTTTCCTTTAATAATTTGTCATATTTTTTTTAAATCACGGTTTTCATTAAAACACTGCAGTGCTTAATGATTCATAACCAGAGCCTCCCTCTTACATAACCTGCAGTCAGGTATTTATAATGTTTATATTTAATTTATTTTTAATATTTCATTATATATATAGTTATGGGGCAAGAACTTGCTACTCGCTCAGTAAATAACGATGCACCAGCAGGTTGGTTTGTGCTGAACGTTTGTATGGACCAGTCAGGGAACACAGGGGTCTGAAGTTAAATCATTACTCCAATTTTACAGTACACTGTCAGAAAAAGGGTACAGCCCTGGTACAGTTTTGTTCCCTAAGGTACAAACAACATTAATGTACCTCCAATGGTACAAAAATGTTCCTCAGAGTCAAATTCTGTATGTAAGATTAGACAAAAGGGTACATTTACCTACAGCTAGGGTAAAATTTTGCAGGCTCTTAAGGATGCAGTCCCAGTGAAGTAATTGTACCATCAACAGTACAAATTTATACTTTTTCTGACAGGTTACGGTGTGCTTTTACATGAGATTTGATAAACTGTAGAATAAGCCCACCTGAAAAATCAAAGAGAGACAGTGATGGAAAACATTTCGTGAAGAAATTTCTGACTTAATCCCAAAACATTCAAGCAGGTACCTGACCATCTATAGGTTCATCAACTGGACCATCAGCATGGGATCAGGTGCCACAGAGGTACTGACTGTACGATCTGGGTAAAGCTTTGGGTGCATTTTATATAGCAATAAAACACCCCTTTGAAAGTCATGTTTTGTTGTCTTAATAATCCGGCCTCATGCACACTCCTTCGACAGCACGCTTGATCGATGTTTGGTCATCAGTAGAGAGACCACAGCATGTCAAAAGGAGTTGGGGTAACCAACCAGAGATCACCCTCTACATGCAGTCAGGAGGGGACGTCGAGGTTAAATTGCCGAGTCGACTTCTGTCTGAAAGCTGCTCATAAAACTCCAGCTCTCACTGTTTCGTTAAATCACAAATTCTTTAAAATTCAAGTAAAACAGATGGATAAGACATAACATCGTGCTGTTTTTTTATAAGCTGACAAATTCTACCAACTATATGTACGTTACCAAATATACATTCTCCAGAATTCTTCTCATTCAGGATCCATAAACCATCTAAGGTAATAAGCAAACGTACCGAATTCACTTCTGTGCTACAGTTAATAACACAGGCTGTCTGTAAACGAAACCGCTTATTTCACAAATATAAAGCTGGATATCTGTTGGGGGGAATTTGGCCATTCGGGGCTTGGCCACACGTGGAAAATAATGTAGAGGTACAAGTGGATGAGAGACCCGCCGCCTTTAATGGTAAAGTGCTCAGCTGAGGAAAAAGTACATTCTTGTTCACTAACATGCAATACTAGGAAACACCCAAAACGTTTATACTGTATCAGTAACAAGCAAGAATAAGGTGTTACAGGTTACTGGTCACAGACGCAAAGGAAATAAAGGGTGAGAATGACACGTGGAAACCTTGGGCAGCACAAGTGTATTAAAACAGACCCGAATCCCAAATCCAAGTAGTAAAAAATGGGAACAAAACATCCAGTAGCACATTCTTAAAAGTGACCCGGTTTGAGGGCGGAGCTCGAGGACTCGCAATTTCCTGCATCACATCGCGGGTGAGAGCGACAAGCCTAAACCATGGGCTGTGGTCTGAGAAACAGATGTGGTCACCATGCTAAGGGGGGGGAGTTTCCATGGTGAGATCCATCAGCCATGGTCCGAGACCTCGCCGGAAGGCAACTCCAGCGTCAAAATGCAGATGATCTCACAAGGCGTTAAAATTGATGCTCGCAGGAAGTCAGAAAAATGAAAAGTATCAGTTCATTTAACAATCCTTAGATATATACACGTTTCTTATAAGCAACGTTGTTGTGAAACGCTCTGAAATGCACTGCTTTCTTCGTTCATTTTCACGCCACTATGCTACCTACTAGATATTTACGTAAAGCGCTACTATGGAATGTGACAAATCAAATTTCATTGCGCTGCCCTCATCTCGAAGCAAAACGTCTTTCTGGCGCACGTGAAGTGATTCCGATGGTACGTGCTTGCGAAATAGCATGTCACCCAATTCAACCTCCGCTCCCCCAGCTAGCTTTTGCCGTGTCATCGTGAGCCACCTCGCCGCCCACCTAGCGCCAGATTGCTCATCGTTGTCATGTACACAAGACGGGATATCTAGGATTTCATTAAAAGGGGCGCTTTGGGGTTTGTGTCGCATCACAATACTGCCCCCCCTCCCCATCCCCCATTCAGTTGTTCTTGGGTGGCACAGGGATGTATATAATATAATGTATAACATTACAGGCATCGTGTTCCATGAGCCGCCTTTCCGTACAGTGACGGGCCACAAGCTTCAGTGGCGTCAACCCAAGACTGATCGTCTGCATGAGCAGCCGGCAAAAAAAGTCACTCTAGCAGACGCTCGCCAAGACTCATCTGTCACAGCTCGTGACAGCACCAGCGATAAAGTCGACCGCACTTTGACATGCCCCTCACATCCCATAGCTACAGTAGTCTTCTAGAAGGCATCCCCATTGAATAAACTGTGCAGCGACCTCACTACATATCCCAGAGTACCTTCAAAGCGGGGCTTTCCCATGGGGTGGCCACTACTGGGCCACAAGACCCCAGAGGCACGTCTGCATGCCACAGGCGGAAGGATAAGCCTGCTCAAGGCCTCCAGTTATTTGCCACCAGTTGAAAATGAGGGGGGGGGGGGTGTTGCATTTTGGAATGGCACATTCCTGCTTGGCGGTGTTCCCTGGGCAGGTGAAGGCATCGACCTGTCTCCTAAGCGGGAGGACACAGAGGCTGCACTGGGATCAGCAAGGGGGAGGGGTGAAGCCATGGGAGACCGACCATGCAGCTGATCCCTCACGTTTCCCACAATTCCAGAGTGCACCCGCCTTCTGACGCAGGGGCTGGCTTATTGTTATATAGACGCTTCCCAAATACACGCGGTCTGCACGTTTACGACTTGCACTTGATCTGTGGAAACTGGCGATTATCGATGAAAATGCATTAAGGATCTGAAGACAATGGCATGTCTGCCAGCATGCTACCTTGAAGACCGAGGAGACTCCCATGTCCCTCGGGCCAAGGCATACGCGAGCACATGGTAGTCAGCTCTTGCCCTGGATTCTGTAGCTTCCCAAACGCCCCAGTAAAGTGTTTGTGGTTCTGGTTGCTAAGCAAACTGCTCAAGGAAAAAAATAAATAATAAAAAATAAAATCTCCCTTGCACACACAACAGAACACAAAGCGTCACGGATATTTAAGATGAAACCCACTCTTCCCACCCCCCACCCACCCAACCTTCCCCGTCCCGAGAGTCAACGCTGTACGTAGAGTTGAAGGTCGCCTGCCCGCTCAGTTCCCATGATCCTTCGCTGCCGCAGAGAGAGCCGGCCCCACAGCGTCGCCGCTGACCAGGCCCCCGGTGCGCTCTACCAGATATATCCTCCATAGTCAGCTTCTCCAGCCTCCCCCTCTTCTTCCTCCTCCTCCACCTCCTCCCCAGGCTCCTCTGCCTCCTTCTCCTCCTCGTCTTCCCAGCCGACGCCGCTGCCGAAATCCCCTGAATATCCAGCTTGGTCGTCTGAGAGAGTGAAAAGCAGGGGAGGGGGGAAGACTGGGCATTAAGTGTGGTTCTTTAATCACTTACTACTAGATAAAAATTGATTCTGGTAGTATTAAATTGTAGTTACAAATTTTAGTCTATCATCAACTCTGAAGTAAGCACACTTTCCTCAGTCTAACTATGAAAACAGAGACCATTATATGTCACATATCGACTGATTAATAAAAAAAATTAAAAAAAAGTATTCCACAGGGTAGCTTATCGTTTGGATTTTGACTCAAATCAAAGAGTCAGGATGGGAGCTGAGAGGCCATGTCCGCATGACAGGACCCCTGGGAACTCCAGTCTGGGGTGGCCAGCATTGTGCCCGTCTTACCGCAGTCGGGGATGCCGTGGATACGCGAGCCAGACAGCTCTCCGCCGTGCTGGTCGACGCACCAGCATTCGGCGCGACTGCGGTCACACTGCAGCTTCCTGTAGTAGCCGTCTTCATCACAGCTGGGGATGTACATCCCTGGAAAAAAATCGTGCTCGTCAGGTGGGGGAGGAGGGGGGGGGGCAGCTGGAGGTGCTTTTATTGGATGGCGTGGATGTTGCGAGGCAGCCTGGGGACGTTCCCGAGAGCGAGGTGGCGGTACGGCTTTTAGGGCGTCACACTGAAGCGGTGATGCCCTCTGACAGCTTCGTCCTCTTCATGCCCTCTGTAGCGGCACAGTGCTTATTCCAGTCCTCCTTGTGCCCCCTCGTGCCCTCGCTCAGCCGCCCCTCTGAGACCCGCAGGGGGGTGACTATGGCTCCTCCAGCAGAGGCAGCTCCTCTGCTTTGCAGCCGCGTAATGAGCATGGCGCCGATATCGAGGTCCCGCTTCTCACTGCGCACCTGCGCTGCTCCTCAGGGACTCCCGGGCAGCCGGATCCGCTCGCTGGCTCGGCCCGCTGCCAGCGCCGCCCTATAATCCCCTGGCCTGATTACACAGTAATCCGGGGCTCGCGCCTGTCGTCCGGATAATGAGGCTCTGCGAGTCCTGCCAGACCCACCAGAGTGGACCCAGCCTGACGTACGGGATGATATTCTCACACTCCCAGACTTACTCACACCCTGACACAACCCACCGTGTTACACCCATGCTGATACACACCCTCACACCTCCCACTGCATTGTACCAATGCTGATACACACCCTCACACCTCCCACTGCATTGTACCAATGCTGATACACACCCTCACACCTCCCACTGCATTGTACCAATGCTGATACACACCCTCACACCTCCTACTGCATTGTACCAATGCTGATACACACCCTCACACC